ATTATACAAAATATTTATCAATTGCATTACAGGACATAATTAGATATTACATTCAAAGTAGGTGGTGGCTCATAATAAAAATATGAAAATATTTTAAAGAGGTTGCAAAAATATAGAAATGCTGACAAGGATAAGTTTATTATTATTTAGAATGCAAGTATATTACGTTGAATAAAAATCTCGCAAAGGCCAATATTGTTCAAGGATCGACGGATAGTGGAAAAGCATGCAGATGCATTATTGCGTTATGCCTTTTATTTATTCGGTAAGAAAATAAACAAAAAAAGTTCCATAACATTTCTAAAGTTCAGCGAGGTTTCAATTCTGGGCGGTTCGAGCTGGCTTGAAAACGTTTTCCTTTTTAATTTATACTTGACTGCGAAATTATTTGCATTGAGTAATTCTCATAAATTTATTGATAAGAGAGATTTTTGTTTTACGCAAAATGCTGTTGGTTAACAGAAGATACCTTCGAGTTAATAATTAATATCATTTTTCAAAGTAAACTCGTAATTTGTTATGGTAAAACGTTTTTGATAATTATTAAAATATGTAATAAAAGTTGGAACCGACCTAAAAAATATAAATTTTGTTTTTTTTTTTAAATTACTGAAACAAAAGCAGATGAAAAGGAAACCAAATCTTAACTGGTTAATAACCAATTCATTAACCGGCTTAGACCAGGATTATAAATTTGTCCGGAGTTAGCAAATATTCTGCAACCATAAAACTCTTATCTCTGGCAGAAAATTGAATTTCTATAAAATCAACCGGTTAAGGTGTAGTTGCAACATTGTATTGCGTCTCATGTGACGTAAAACTGCGGCAATAACTTTTTCAATTTTGTACATCAAATAAATTTTGCATCTTAATACCTTTTACATTACTTAATATATCTTTCATCACTTATTTAGTCTATTTAATCATTATTATTTTTCATTATTTGTATCATTTATTATTATAGAAAGGCGTAGTTTTGATTATTAGACCAGAATTTTATATAAATATTTAATATAAATAGAAATATACGTGTAAGTTGACCATGAGTTGTCAGAGTTTTACTCAGTGATTAAGATCAGTCTTATACTAGATTTATAACTCTACAGTTTTAATAAAGAAACTATTTTACACTTCACATTCTTCTTGTCATCTGTATAAGTTAATCGTGAAAACTACACAAGTGAATCGTAATAAATAGTTTATGATCCTCTTAGAAATGGCCTTCGAGATATTCGAGTCATTGAGATATTTTGGTTTATTAGTTTTGTTTCGGTACATTTCCAGGCCTAACACCGGTTAACATGTTAACCGTTTTAAACGGTTCCAACCTTTAAAATAATAAGTGTGTTTTGCGTGAATTTACCTAATATATTTAATTCTAATCATAAATAATTACTTTTCTTGTTAATGTTTTGTTCAACCAATGATATAATGCATTTTATCAATTTATTTGCTTTTTTTGCAGTAATAATGGAATAATAACTTCCTGAATTTGTTCAGGAAATTATTATTCACACCCATGATTTTGCTTTCGATAACGAGGTAATCTAAAGAATTCTGATCCAAGATCGGTTGTTATACTGCTATAAATCATGAAAAGTAAGCGCGAGTCTGTCTGTTAGTTATTCGCTTTCAGTGACTAAAAAAATCCCAAAATGAAAATCTTATCAATTAAAAACCAAAACAAGATAAACCCACAAATTAAATTTAATATAAACTATTAGATTTTATTATATTCCATAATATCAGAACATCTGGCTCTCCTCAACGAGATACTTCTTAGGATTATTCTCAGACAAAGAATCTCTTACTTCTTCTTCGTTTGAGATATTATTTACACATGAAATGTAGTTTCTTATATAGTTAAATTTATCAAATAGAGATTTAAACTTACCGAAATAAATTTAACTAGTTAACCTGTATTTTAATATTTTTGCCGTTCCATCTGTTTCAAATTCATTAAAATTATATATTTGATCTTTATATGACATCACCAACTGCACTGTTTAGGCCATTGTTGGCTTGGTATCTGTAAACTTAAACGATAAACTTTTAATTCAATCCGTCGAATTAAATACAAGACGATATCACAATCACGTATATGAAGACACGACAAAAGGCAATAGTAAATGAATTTAACGATTCCTTTATTGAACTCTTGGTTTATCCTAAAACCTCAACTTGAGTTACTTTTTGACTCAAGGAAAAATACAAGATATTTATATAAAATAAAATAATATAAAATCAACTATAACAAATATAATAAAGAGAACAAATAATATAACTATGATAAATATAATATATATAATAAATAAGATATAATTAATAAATATAATAAATATAATCCATATATCTAATATGTCCACTTGATCAACGTCTGACAACTTTAGCAACTCTGTCAACTACGATCATTTAGATCACATGACTTTATTTTAGCGCAGTCATGGATCACCATGCAACTTCGATTTTTCGGTTCATGTCACCCGGCCGGGTCACTTTTTCAAATTTTAACTAAAAAAAGTTTATATATAACAAGTTTATCATGTGACTATAAGTGTAATTTTATTGGTAAATAAAGCTTTATTGTATGTATCATTCCTTTCTTACAACTCGTTAGTTTTCATGAAGCTTCACAAGCAATACATTATGCTGAAATTTCATCTCTAACAAATGTTTTTGATGGGCTAAATTTCACTTCAAATTCTGCTTCCCACCAGTCAGGTTATATATTTCCAAAAAATCTATATTTATTTCTTTCTCAACAGGTTAACCTTCCCAAACTTTAGAATTGTAACTTATTTTACATTTATAATATGCATTTTGACGGAGTTTAGATGATTTTTAAATGGAATGTGATTGTCGATTGATTAAGCCGGGCAAAAAAAAATTTGAATTTTAGATAAAATTTTAAAATTGACACGGCCTCCCAGATTTTTTTTTCTTGTTCATATGTAAGTATTACACAAATAAAGATAAATCTAATTAAATCTATCTTTCGTCGATTTATTATGTAAGGTCACATGATAAAAATTTTACCATAAAAAAAAATACTGAATTTTCGTAAACTGACACGGCCGGGTCATAGCACGTCCTTGTTCCCTTAATAATTGACCAATCAGATGCATAATATTTATATAAACATTTTTTTATTAATAAAAAATAATCATTAATAAACTCTGGGTCTCCGGGTCGATTTTAAATTTCAATGTCACGTGAACCGAAAAATCGAAGTTGCATGGCCTTATGCTGACTCGTAATGTTAGAAACAATTGAATGATCAAAGCATCGAAACCCAGTCAGAATTGTAAGAGGAATTTTTGAGCGACATAAGTTGTAGAATCAATTTATATCGTTTATAACTCATCAAGGTTCTACTTCATTTCATCTCAACTTTTGCAGTAACTGTTAAGAGGATCACACCAAAGGAAATGGCTTCTAGTGGGTATAATAAAAGCAGCTAATAGTATACCATTACATTACTTTTGCACAAAAGTTTCACGTTATCTATGTGCTGTTTGCTTTTCTCTACAATCAAGGGTGAACATTAATTCGAGTTCATAATCATTTAGTTGAGTCTGGCTTCATTCCATGATGAATATTATGAAATTTTCGTCATTTCGATTTCGGTTCTACATACAAGTTTAAGTTAGTCGTTACTTTAAATAAATTTTCACATTTATTATATTAAATTACTAGCAGTATTTAGCATTAGGATTATTCCTTAAAATATGATTATAAATCATTTTTAGAAAAAAAGCATGTCAAAAACATAAATTTCCCCTGTGAAAAATTGTCCGGTGTTAGTTGCGAAATTTTACTCCGTTATTAACTTATCTGTATCATAATTTAGAACGAAACATAATTCTTTCGCTAAAATAGAAAATATCTGACTATTATCGTTATAATTTCCTATAATAGAAAAGATGGGATGTATTAAGTTCTTTCGTTTATGTATTTATAAACAAGGCGAAGTGTGAAGATTGTACATGCAAATTTTTTAAGGACCTCAAATCCCAGCAGAATTATTTATATATATAAATTTTAATTAGAAAACATGTTACCCTAACGGCATGGATCTACGCACAAATATTTTCTTTTCTGACAAAACTATATTAAATGTAAAAACACTCATCAAAGGAACTAATTGAACAATTAACCGATATATATTATTACATAATAATTGTTTTGGTGGTTTTAAGTTTGCATTATATCGATACGTTTAAGAACTTTGAGATCCATTGGCGAGATTTAGGAGATTCACCGAAGAACAACACAAATAATGAAAAAAAGGAATTGTAATCATTCATTAAAACTCGAATTTTAATTAACTTATTTAATCGACGTAATGATGATATAATATTGATTAACTTGCAGGATACATAAGTATGAAATCAAGAACGAAAGGTTTACTTTGGTTACTCCAGGAATATTCTTATTAAATTTCCTGTGAAAATTTCAGATTTTACTGAGCTTGTGACTTTTTTAAAAAATTATTGGTTCGAATTTTGAATAAAGATAAAAAATAAACCAATTTCTAAGTGTCTTTTACTAAAAAAGGTTAGAAGAATTTATGTTTCTACAGGTATATAGGTATATCGGTATATCGCAAACATGTATCGTTAATATGTATACTTTAAAAAAATACCCGTTTGATTTTTTCATAAACTTGTATGTTTTTAGTTAATTTTTAACCAGTCAATTAACCAGTAAATATTTTTAGACCCTAAAAAGTGCAATATATTTTACATGTATAATAAAAGGACCATACTATATAGGTATGCGATGCCTTAAAAAACTTGAAAAAACGAAAATAGATAACCGCGTTGAAAATTTTGATGGAGAATTGCGTAATTGTACGTGGTTGAGATTCGACATATTACTTTTTTTTAAGCAATGTAATGGTAATAAAAGATTTCATAAAATTTTTATATAAATATTTTGAATTATCTGTCTTTCAAATACTAAAAATATCAATATATTTCATCGGTAAATAAGCCACAATGTCTAATAATATTCGTCGTGAGGTTGCCCCTGATTGGAGAATTGTGACGGAATGGTTAAATATTGAGGGTAAGCAATAATATTTTTTGTCAAAATGTTTTACTAAATTGATCTTATTAAACTATTTTGCTTATTTTCAAAAGCTCATTGCCAAAATCATCTTGTCGAGCCTATTATGGAGGTTATGTTCTTGTAAAATGGGATATCGCAATGGTGGTATCTTTGATTTTTTCCGTAATTAAAGGGACTGCGGATGTCCGATTTGCGGTCGATATGTGCAACCTTAAAACTTTGGCTTTTACAACACTTTCTATAAGGTGGTTGGTTATAAGAAAGGAAGATCTGACATAGCATATCATGTGTTGTCATTGAATGGCAATTTGCTACTCGTGATCATTATACTGCTTTCAAGAATATTAAAGAGGACAAGATATATTGGGGTAAACTTGAAATTAGAGTGAGAAGTCCTTAAACAAATTTATTTGTAATTAGGGGACAAGACCACAAAATATTATTTTAAAGTGTGTGAATTTTTCCGTGTTTGGCGGTTTTTATTTTTGTCAAATGTGGTGTCCAAAATTACCATTCCAAATGATAATTGTTCAATGCGTAGGTACGTCAAGGCTTAATTTTTGTGTTATGGATAATAATGTTGGTATTATTAAATGGTCTGACATTTTTGAAAAGATAATGAGTTAATTTTGAAAGCCACGGTACTTCCGACCATTTTCAAAAAATAACATATCGTTATGTTCGGAAATGAGTCGAGTACAATTTTTTTTATTTGGCATGGATGGCATTTTCGGATCCTTGTTAATGTTCTCGAACATTATCTGCCGTCCTGTGAATTTTGAATTAGCTGAAGATAATAGAAATCCATGTCGCTGACAAAATTTACACATATTATATTTTTATTATAAATATTTATAAGCAAATTAAAACAAATATTGCAAGCTTGTTATAATTTAGAACTTGTAATCTCGAAATTAACTGCGTCTATTACATCCAGGAGAACGAGAAGAAACTAATTATAATAGGAAATATAATACTTGTAATCTCAACGAACGGATTACATTTTGACCGAGAAAATCAAATATTTCAGTTCTGAATAATCGAGATAATCGAAGGGTTGCTTATAATATTAATATTTCTTTGTAAGATTACAAGAATTGCAACACAAAAATTTCTCTTAAATATTCCAAATTGTCCTAACAAAAATATATATGAAAGGATTTGTTCAATATCGTTCCTTTGATATTTATTCAGCATATTTTCTTTTCCCTCTCCTTTTCAATTATATTTCCTTTTTAAAAAATTTATTTTTTATTTATATTTTATCTTATTATTTTCTTTTTGTTTGTAATTTATTAGCATTTACTATCTGTATCAGTTGATTTAATAAGCGGAATTTCGGGAGTGTGGATTAATTTATCGAATAAATTTTACATCAAATTGCTTACAAATTTCCTTGTTTATAAAATAAACGTAAAGGAACTGTAGATTAACTCGTTCGAAATGTGACCGATGCAATTGCGTAATAATATATATAAACTATAATAAACGAACGAATACTTTTTTATTCTCCTACTGCACTTAACGACCAAATAAAGTGAATCTTAAAAAAAAAATATTGTAATACATTATATTCGTTAAAAAATGCAATGATGTCAACATAAGTGATTTATTTCTTATTTTGAATAAAATTTTATCATGTTTTATTTCTTATTGTGAATTAAAAGTGCATTTATTTAATAATATTTATTCTACTTAAATTAATTTTTTTTTATATAGCCTGTATTATTACATATGCAAAATTCATTATCTGCATGCAATAAATGGTATCGGGTTATAAAAGACCAAGATGAAGTAATTTTTATCGATGGGAAAATTGCTCAACATGTCATAATTGTAAAAATTTACATGAAATTAAATTTAATATCAATTTTATTATACATTACATTTTCCATAAATAAATATAAGTGTAAACTATAAAAAAATACAATCGAATAAATTACTGCCATTGTTTTTAATTGAATAAGTAAATCACGCATTAAAGGAAACAATTAAATATGAAATCACAAAAATATTTTATCACGTTTACTTTTTTATTACGCAACTTGTCTTTCCGTCACTTGATTTTTTTAACGCTATAATATTATTTACGTTTTATATTCATCATGCAAAGGTTTCCATTTTTTTAAAATTCTTAACAATGGTATTTCAATACTTGGAACTTCTTTAGGAAGAACGCTTTTCTTTTTTTAACGATTATATGCAATTATCTGCATCAGCCACGTGCTATTTTCGTGATATATATTTGAAAATGAAAGTCAGCAAAGTCGGCTAAGTTCGTTATCGGTCGGTTATATAATTAAATAAAAAAAAAAAATACAACTGAAATTTAAATGCCGTTAAAATTAAATAATTCCGCCCATATTCGATATTTTCGACCCACGAATTGTCCATTTTTAATTTAGTTAGGTTTTTCATGATGCCAAAATGTCGCATGGCAAATTGTCCTTATCTAAAATTTATTATATATACTATGGGTTTTTCTTGGGGGATAGTTCAAGTTCGTTTTTAGTCTATACACAAGAAACATTTCTCTTAACTCACTACCCTAAAATTTTTATATTGCAATTTATTAATTTTATATTTCTTTATTTAGTGAAGTAGATCGTCAACGTTGAGGCAACAGTTGATTAATTGTTTTATTGAATAAATTTATATTATAATTGTTCAATTAAAGACCTACTGCGTTATTAATACAATGTAAGTACAGACATAAACAATACAAACAATTATTAGTATATAAAATATTGGTTGTTGTCCACCGGTTTGTCAAAATATATTGACCGATATCAGTCACCGTCATGACCATTGAACATTAATTATTTTCTCTGAATAATTTGAATATATTTGGCATTTAGTTGTTTTTTATCTTTATAAATGTCAATTAAAAAGATTTAATTTATCAATTAATTTCAGAATAAAAATTAATTCAACTACAAATTAGCTCATTTGTTCAATTTGATTTTTGCATATTACAAAGGGTTGCTTTTCTGTTTAATAAATAAAATTTAATAGTTTACTTTTAGTACCTAACCTAATGCATTGCACAATTGTATTCAATACCAGAAAAAGTCGATGGTTCAGATGAAACCCAAATAAAAATATTAATAATAAAATCAACTTCGGTAAATATATATCCGTTTGTTGCAGATATTATTGTTTACAACTATAACTTTAAACAAAGTTTAAAGTTTATATGTTTGCATAGCATATTAAAATGATTAGTTAGTTTTATTAAAATATAATGTAAATTTATATATTAATTGTGGATTCATACCTCTTCAAAACAACTTCTAATTGACACTTTCAATATTTTCCAATATATAGAGTATTACTTTGCCCGTCTCAAGACTTGTCTTTAGTATCCAATTATTCATTTCGCAACTTACACAAATCCAATCTGCTATATAAATTTACATCATCCATCCTCATTTAGTTGATTATTTATAAATTGTCGTATGGAATTCATTCAATTATTCTAAATGAGTGGTCTATAGTTTCAATATGAAATATCTTCAATAAAAATTACAGATTATTTACAGATGTCCAACCTGAAATTTTTATTTTTATAATTTTAAATACAATGTATAGTATGTTGCTAATATCTTGCATACAACTCTTATAAATTCTGTTCTTCTATAATAATAACTTTGTAACTCAAAAATAATCATTTATCAAAATTTCAGTTTAAAACCATGGCTAGTAAAACTTCTAAAAATGATAGTTTACTAAATTAAATAATTGCTCAAATTTAATTATGATTTTATAATATATATCTCGTTTCTCAACAATTAATTTTTTATCTTCAACATTTACAACTTTACGATTTTAAAAGTCTTTAAATGGGTCGCTTAAAAATTATGAACTTAATATAATCTTGTCAACAATTTGCTCCTCTCTGAATTGTAAATGCAGAATAAACTGAAATTTAAAAACATGTATAACATGATTTTCTAAATCAGAATTAAAAAAAAAAAATTTATTTTGCTCTTTGTATCGCAAATTTTAGATGGAAATTTTCTGTAATTTATCTAATTTTTCCTTATCACATAATAACTTTTGTAAATTTAATCATTCGCGGATTAAAACTAGTTTAAATAGCTACAAACATATGTGATATGACCGATTAGACAGGCAACCTTCCACAAAAAGTTGTTTATTGAGTCATAATCCGGACGTCAACACGAAGAATGAATCTCATATGCTTAAAACAAAAAAAGAATACGATGACTGATTTATCAGATTCTGCAATTAATGGAACTTGCGTTATTTTTTAAAAAAAATATATATATATGATTTTATATGATTTTACTAATAGTTTCATAAAATTAGTGAAACTATGATTATTCATTTTGTTAACTATAAGATTTCCAAAAGTTTTGGAAAATTTTTTATCCTACAAGTTTTACTTGTAGTTTGAAGCAATAAATGCACGTATTGAAGATAATTTTAATAATAAAATTTAAATAGCGGCCAAAAATCCTTTAAATGGTAAAAATATTTGTTTAGAGTTAATTAACCGGTTAAAATTAACTTATGCCAGTACTATAAATTTGGGCGAAATTAGATTATATTTTTGACAATCATAAAAAATCTTAATTCTGGCCGGTAATTGAATTTTGGTCGAAGTTAAATTCTATTTTAACCGGTTAAAAAAGCCCGGTTAACATAACCGTTTTAACCGGTTAACCGGTTCAACCTCTAATTTGGAAAGAGGATGCGACAATCGTGACATATTAAAAAAAATAGATCCGGTAAAAGTAAAGGTAATGAATGCATTAAATATAAAAAAATATTTAAAAAGATGAAGGCAGGAAATTTTGCTGGAAAAGGAGTTTCTCCACGTCCTAAATCAGGGGAGAAAACTGACCTAAAAAAGAAAAGGCATGATCTGAAGTTATTGCTGCATTAAGCGAAAAGTTAGAAATGATTTAGTAATCTTACTATTTCATGAGCCTAAAGTTGTAATCTAAAGGATTAAGTTGATTATCTTGAATAGAATATGGTGTCATGTACCATTACAAAATTTATCTAAAGTCATGTGTAACTGTTGATAAGAAGGATTAGCAAAAGTAACACCTTCTGTTCAGTCATGGTTCAATTATTCCTACATAATATTGGGCTATGCAATAGAAAAGGAGGATTTATTGTCGAGGAACATATTTTGGCATATAAAAGATGATCATATAATTTTTAACAATTCGTAAATATATTATTTTGCTACTTAATTCATGAGTTGTTGTATATCATACGACTTGATTAAGTCCTCGCAAATAACT